TCCTATTCCAAGGGGCAGCTTAGTCTTGAAGAGTCTTTCTCTGAGACTGGTTGATTTAAAAATTTATAAATTCTTGTATTTGCTAGAATAAGAAGGGTTTTCATTATAAAAGAGAACAGGTGCTAACCCTAGGCATCAGTGGATTGAGCCCAGGATTGATGACTAATTTATAGTTCCCACAATGCACAGATTCAGCGGTTAAGTTTTATGGACTTTCTGTGGTCTTGCTTATCTAGATCTTTTGTCCTTACCTGAGATCAAGCAACAGTTAGGCTGCTTAGCAAATATATGCCATGATGTTAGGAGATTAGACCTAGACTCACAAAAATAAGATTTTATCAGATCTGAGCCCTTCATTTTCAGATGAGAAACCTGAAAAACTGAGACAGCCACAAAATTAAAGGGCTGAAATGAGAAGACAAGTCTTTATTCCTGTTTAGTGCATTCCAGCCTACCAGGGTGTGACACACCAGGGTAAAATCAGTGTGTGAGGTGTCTTTAAATTATTTTTTACATATACAAAACTACAGTTATGTGTACCTTGCTGTTACTCCCAATTTGCTTTGTTCTTTCTTTTTTTTTTTGAGACAGAGTCTCACTCTGTTGCCTGGGCTGGAGTGCTGTGGTGTCAGCCCAGCTCAAAGCAACCTCAAACTCCTGGGCTCAGGCAATCCTCCTGCCTCAGCCTCCCGAGTAGCTGGGACTACAGGTACACGCCACTATGCTCGGCTATAATATATTTAATATATAATATAATATAATTTTTCTATATATTTTTAGTTGGCCAATTAATTTCTTTACTTTTTTGGTATAGATGGGGTCTCACTCTTGCTCAGGTTGGTCTTGAACTCCTGCCCTTGGAGATCCACCCACCTCAGCCTCCAGAGTGCTAGGATTAGGCTGAGCCACCCTGCTGGGGCTTTGCTTTGTTTCTAATTAGAAGGCAAGCCAAAGAGAAGCAAAAAAAGGATGGTGGAATTATGTGAGCTACTGTACCAGATTTCATTATAAAAGTAATATATGCATATGCTAAAAACTCAGATGTATAATAAAGTATAAAATGAAAAATAAGTCTTTCTTTTTACCCTGTGGGAGTCTGTGACTCATCCACTGGTTTGGGTATTTTGCCACTTAAGAACAGAGAACTTTGAACAAATTTAACCTTTTTGTCTCCCACATAATATCTTGGAGATCTTTCTCTGTCAGTCTTTAGAAGTATTCTTTTGAATGAAACTATAGTATAGTTTACAGTTCCTTACTGAATAGACACCTAGGTTATCTCTAATTCTTCACTCTTTTTAAAATTTAATTAGTTTATTTATTTTTAGCCAGTTAAATTTAGCAGTGGGGGGTTGTATACCAACTTTAGTGACACTAATGTTAATAAGTTCTGATAACCCCCACCATTGGACCAGCCATCCAGTTCTTCACTATTTTATTTTATTTTTTATTTTATTTTTTTATTTTATTGAGACAGAGTCTTGCTTTGTTGCCCAGGCTAGAGTGAGTGCCGTGGCCTCAGTCTGGCTCACAGCAACCTCAATCTCCTGGGCTCAAGCGATTCTCCTGCCTCAGCCTCCCGAGTAGCTGGGACTACAGGCATGCACCACCATGCCACGCTAATTTTTTCTATAATACTATTACTAGTTGGCCAATTAATTTCTTTCTATTTATAGTAGAGACGGGGTCTCGCTCTTGCTCAGGCTGGTTTCGAATTCCTGACCTTGAGCAATCCGCCTGCCTCAGCCTCCCAGAGTGCTAGGATTACAGGCGTGAGCCACTGTGCCTGACCCACTATTTTAAATAATGCTGCAGTATATATATATATTTGTGTACTTAGACTTAATTCAACTCCCCTGATACAGTACAGTGTAGTGGTTAAGAGTGCAAAATCTGGGGCCAGGCTAACATCAAGTCCTAGTTCTGCCCTTATTAGCTGAGCATCTACAATGTGACAGTTACTGGAGATAGACTAGTGACTGAAACATTTAAAAAATCTCTTCATGTACAATTCTCTTCTTTTTTTTGGGACAGAGTCTCTGTCACCTGGTAGAGTGCAGTGGTGTAATCGTAGCTCACTGTAACCTCAAACTCCTGGGCCTAAGTGATTCTCTTGCCTCAGCCTCCCAGGTAGCTGTTAATACAGGCCCATGACACCGCCTGGCTAATTTTTCAAATTTTTTTTTTTTGGAAGAGATGGGGTCTTGCTTTTGTTGAGGCTTGTCTTGAACTCTTGAGCTCAAGCCATCCTCTTGCCTTGGCCTCCCAGGATGCTAGGATTACAGGCATGAGCCACTGCGCCTGGCTTTCATGTGCAATTCTCTATTGGAAAAATTCCTAAAAGGATTGCTGAGTCAGAGGATTTTTCTTTTCCTTTTTTCTTTGGAGTCAGAGTCTCATTCTGTTGCCCTGGCTAGAGTGCAGTGGCATCAGCCTAGCTCACAGCAACCTCAAACTCCTGGGCTTAAGCGATCCTCCTGCCTCAGCCTCCCCAAAAGCTGGGACTACAGGCATACGCCACTATAACTGGCTAATTTTTTTCCCTATATATATTTTTAGCTGTCCAGCTAATTTCTTTCTATTTTTAGTAGAGATGCTCTTGCTCAGGCTGGTCTCAAACTCCTGACCTTGAGCAGTCCTCCCGCCTTGGCCTCCCAGAGTACTAGGATTATAGGCGTGAGCATCCGCACCTGGCCTAAAATGTTGGTATTTTCAAATGCTTTCTATTAAAGTTCTACCAGTTACACTTTCTAGAAGTTGTGCGAGTCTGTTTGCTTACATCCTCCTCTATTGCTTGTTACCAAACCCTTATCAAACCAGTAGGTGAAAAATGGTTATGAGATTTAGTTTTATTTTAAACTGTTTGAATGACAAGGAAAGCTTTCCTTAATTGATTTATTGTGATTCTCTAGCGAATACTATTTGTACTATATTGAAATACTTTCAGTTAGTATTAGTTGACTCATTTGTGCATGTATACAAATAAATGACTTATAGGCATACTAGGAAATGCCTTGTTTTGAATGATTATTTGTGATTTTGGAAAGTGGTCAATTTTATTTTATAATGAAGAATAAAAGTGATACCTTATTTTCCATCACTTATTGCCATCATCCCCAGGAAATATTTCAAGATAAGTGAATAAAACCTCAATGAGAACTAATTAAGAACCTCCATCTTTCGGAATAGGCAAAATATTTAGGATTCTTTGATATAGAATTTGTTTTTCATCCTTTTTTTTGAGACAGAGTCTCACTCCGTTGCCTAGGCTAGAGTGCCCTGACATCAGCCTAGCTCACAGCAACCTCAAACTCCTGGGCTCAAGCAATCCTTTTGCTTGAGCCTCCTGAGTAGCTGGGACTACAGGCATGCACCACCATGCCCGACTAATTTTTTCTATATATTTTTAGTTGGCCCATTAATTTCTTTGTATTTTTAGTAGAGACGGGGTCTCGCTCTTGTTCAAGCTGGTTTCAAACTCCTGACCTTGAGCGATCTGCCTGCCTGAGCCTCCCAGAGTGCTAGGATTACAGGTGTGAGCCACCACACCCAGCCTGTTTTTCATCCTTATTAAAGAATGTGAGGCCGGGCAAGGTGGCTCATGCCTGTGATCCTAGCAGTAGGATCTAGGCTGACGCCATGGCACTCACTCTAGCCTGGGCAACAAAGTGAGACTCTGTCTCAAGAAAAAAAACAAAAACAAAAAAGAAGAATGTGAGAAAATATCAATGGATTTAATTTTATATTTAATATTGTGTTTTAAATTATTTTTAATTAGCCATTATAATGCAATTGAATTTCTTTTGCTGACTTGTTAGTAGGTTAACTGATTCATATTTATTGAGCTTCTGTCTCCCAGTTTCTGAGGACATAAAAATATGACAGGGTTTCTCAAAGGAGCTTAGTCTAAAATTTTGGGGAGTGATAGAAATGTTCTACATCTTGATGATGGTGATAATTACATGACTATATGTTTGTCAAAACCCACAGAATTGCACATATACCAAATAGAATCGATTGTAATGTGTGAAAATTATGTTTCAGTAAAAAAAAAAGCTTAATCTAGTGAGAAGATTTGACAAGAAATATAGCTACAATACAGTGTAATATTAATAAAAACATAATGAGATCATTGGTGAACACAAAAGGGAAAGTGTCCTAAGAATGGAGAGAAATAAGTGGTCAGGGAAAACATCATGTTGCTGTATTTTGATTAGTTTTAAAGGAAATATAGGCATTTTGGGGAAAGTTTAGAAGGTAGCTGAGGTGGGAAGATCACTTGAGCCTAGGATAAAATTTTACCAGCCTGGGTAAATGTCAAGACAAAAAAACCCAAAATAGCTGGGTGTGGTGGTACATGCCTTGTAATCCTAAGGTACTGGGGTGGAGTTAAACCTGGAGGATCTCTCTTGCTGAGCCCAGGAGTTCAAGGTTGCAGTGGGCTATGATTGTATCACTGCACTCCAGCCTGGGCAGCACAGTGAGACCCTGTCTTTTAAAAAAGTAAATAAGTAGACTCTGGGAGGCTGAGGCAGGAAGATCATTTGAGCTCAGGAGTTTGAGACCAACCTGAGCAAGAGCGAGACTCCATCTCTACTAAAAAAAAATAGAAATTAGCTGGACAGCTAAAAATATATAGAAAAAAATTATGTGGGCATGGTGGTGCATGCCTGTAGTCCCAGCTTCTTGGGAGGCTGAAGCAGAAGGATCGCTTGAGCCCAGGATTTTGAAGTTGCTGTGAAGTAGGCTGATGCCATGGCACTCTAGCCCAGGCAACAGAGTGAGACTCTATCTCAGAAAAAAAAAAGTAAATAAATAAAAGATTCTTTATAAAAAAAAAAAAAGCAGAGGGTGTGTATGTGTGTGCATGATATCTCTGGAGACATTTAACTAGTTGTGTATGACCTGAGGTGTATGTCCATTCAGTAGCTGGGTAAAGGGTTATAAAGGGTTTGTAGCTGTTTGAATTGACATTGGTTTTTTTCTGTGTTGTTGAGCAGGATGTGATGGTGGCAGGTGGGATGGAGAGCATGTCCAATGTTCCATATGTAATGAACAGAGGAGCAACACCATATGGTGGGGTAAAGCTTGAAGATTTGATTGTGAAAGATGGGCTAACTGATGTCTACAATAAAATTCATATGGTAAATGTTGCTTTTTAATGGAGAAATTCTATCTGATAACTAGTAATGCTTGATTTTTCTTTATGTATTATACAAACTAAACTGAAGGATGGGCTTTATAAATGTTGATTTTAGACAGTCATTTTAGGAAAATATTTTTCTATGCTTATTGTATGAGTGTGGCTCAATTCTTAAGGAAATTGACCCACACTTGAATAGGGCATTTTTTGACTTCTCAAATAGCAACTTCTAGGCTAATTTAAGTATATGAAGATAAGACGTGAGTGAAAAATTACCTAGTGTAGAGGTAAGTGTATATTAAAAAGAAACTAAATTTAACTGTTAACCACTATAAGTTATAAGTGAACAGATATTTTTAAAATTACTTGACCTAGTTTTAAAATATTTAAACTTTTTTCAGGGCAACTGTGCTGAGAATACAGCAAAGAAGCTGAGTATTTCACGAGATGCACAGGATGCTTATGCTATTAATTCTTACACCAGAAGCAAAGCAGCATGGGAAACTGGAAAATTTAGAAATGAAGTTGTTCCTGTCACCATTACAGTAAAAGGTAGAGAATGTTCCAAAATACATTTTAACTTTAATAGACTTCACATGTTGCTGAAATATTTAAGTTTTAAATTAGTACATTACCTTTGTTCATTTCGACTGAGGACACTGATACTTCTGCTTATGGTTAGTAAAGGGAAGAGGTGCCAGTTCTGAGATAATGTATTTCAACCCAATTTAATGTCAGATTTCAATTTGACTATAAGACACACTAAGCACATTATTTTTAATTTAAGAGATATATAAATGGGAGACAACATAGTAACTTAAATAAAAAAGGTAATTTACTAGAAGGCTATTGGGAGGACCTCCCAGAACTGAAGGATGGGCAGCAGCTACCAGTTAGCCCTGGGAATTTCAGGGATTGGAACTAGGTATTCAGTACTGTTAGGACATACTCTCTTGGTTTCTCATTCCTGCATGCTTTTGTGCTTTATTCTCTTTGGCTTTCTTAAGTTGGCTGCCTCTATCTTTAGGGTCATATTCGTAGGGTACTCAAGGAGGAAAGAAGCCTCCTCAACAATTCCAGAAAAATAAATCCACAGTAAAGACCCATTAACTTGGTGTAGGTTACATTTCTGTTATAGGAATGATTACTGTGCTCTGGATAATAGAATACTAGAATCCTGGAGCTTATCCCACATAGGTCAGACATCTACCCTGGGGTCAGGAGAGTGGTTGAGAGATTATAGAAGGGGCCTGAGAAGAGAATAGGAAGTGGATGTGTAGAAGATTTAAATTTTTTAAAGTTACTTAATAAGCTTCTCTTTAGGACACTAAGATAATTGAGGTAATAGATGGTAGACTCCAGGTTAGTGTTTCCTTAGGAGGATGGTTTAAGGTATGCAGGCATACAAAAAGGGAGGCACAGACTACCAGGCATGTTGGGCAAGTTTTTTGCTGAATGACTAATTGTTATCTTGAGTGGTGATCATTTAAAATATTTTTGTTTTAGGTAAACCAGATGTCGTGGTGAAAGAAGATGAAGAATATAAACGTGTTGATTTTAGCAAAGTTCCAAAGCTGAAGACAGTTTTCCAAAAAGAAAATGGTTAGTATTAAGAAATGAAGCATAAGAAAAAATTGAGTCAGTATACCACATCTATTCTTTGAATTGCCCAAGGATTTAAAAAAAGTAATTTTAGAAAACATATAGGTGTTACTTAAAATTTTCAATTTTTTTTTTTTTTGAGACAGAGTCTCACTTTGTTGCCTGGGCTAGAGTGCCATGGCGTCAGCCTAGCTCACAGCAACCTCAAACTCCTGGGCTCAAGCAATCTTTCTGCCTCGGCCTCCCGAGTAGCTGGACTACAAGCATGAGCCACCATGCTTGGCTAATTTTATATATATATACATATATATATACACACACACATATATATATATATACATATATATGTATATATACATATATATACATATGTATATATATACACACACACACATTTTTAGTAGAGATGGGGGTCTCACTCTTGCTCAGGCTGGTTTTGAACTCCTGACCTTGGGTGATCTGCCTGCCTTGGCCTCCCAGAGTGCTAGGATTACAGGCATGAGCCACTGCGCCCAGCCCAGAATTTTCAATATATTAATATCAGACTCAAGTAAAATTACTTCAAAGTATATTTAAAATTGTATAACAGTTTATACAATTTATACATTCGATATATAAATTCTGGAAACAGATTGTATAACATGATTATGGAATTCAGTTTTCCATATATGGCAGTCTATTATGGGGTCTTCATTGACATTTTTAAAAACCAGCTTTGTTGACATATTATGTCATTAAATATGAAACATCCAATTTCCAATCAAAAGTTAAGTTGAGGCTGGGCGTGGTGGCTCACGCATATAATCTTAGTGCTCTGGGAGGTTGGTGAGAAGACTGCTTGAGGTCAGGAGTTCAAGACTAGCCTGAGCAAGAGTGAGACTCCATCTCTACGGAAAGTACAAAAATTATCCAGGCATCGTGGCATGCTGTGCTTGTAGTCCCAGCTACTCAGGAGATTGAAGCAGGAGCATAGTAGTTTGAGGTTACAGTGAGCTATGATGATGTCTTTGCACTCTAGTCAGGGCAACAGAAAAAAGTTTATTATATCTCAAACAAGAAGTAGTACAATTGGCTGGGCGTGGTGGCTCATGCCTGTAATCCTAGCACTGTGGGCGCATTGCTCGATGTCAGGAATTCGAAAACAGCCTGAGCAAGAGTGAGACCCCGTCTCTGCTATAAATAGAAAGAAATTAATTGGCCAACTAACATATATAGGAAAAATTAGCCGGGCATGGTGGCGCATGCCTGTAGTCCTAGCTACTTGGGAGGCTAAGGCAGTAGGATCGCTTGAGCCCAGGAGTTTGAGGTTGCTGTGAGGTAGGCTGACGCCATGGCACTCTAGCCTGGGCAACAAAGTGAGACTTTGTCTCAAAAAAAAAAAAAAAAGAAAGAAATAGTACAATTAATCAAAGTGCACCTAAATTATTGAAACAGTTTTGCCATCTTAACGGTAGCTTATTTATGCTAGCAGCGAAGGAGCCTGGAAAGTGAGTGGCAATGAAATCACGAAAGGTATTTTCCACAGCTTGAGAAATGAACATTTTTCCTTGCAAAAAGTGGACCAAAGCCTGGAAAAAATGGTAGTCAGTTGGTACAAGGTCTGGTGAATATGTTGCATGACAGTTTCCGGGTCCAGCCTCTGTAGTTTGAGCAGCGTTTGTGGGACATGTGGTCAAGTGTTGTCTTGCAAGAGAATTGGCCTGTCTTTATTGACCAATCTCAGCTGCTTCATTGCAAGCATCCTCATCATTTTGTCCAATTGGTTGCAGAAGACATCTCTGTAATCAGTTGACCAGGTTTCATGAAGCTGTAGTGGATAATACCAGTGCTGGACCATCAAACAGACACCATTAGCTTTTTTTGATGACTATTTGGGTTAGGACTGTGTTTCAGTACTTTCTCTTTATCCAACCACTGTGCCGAATGCTTGCGATTGTCAAAAAGAATCCATTTTTCATCATATAACAATATGGTATAGATATGGTTTGCCTTTATGTCATGGTAGCAAAGAAAGGCAAGCTTCAAGACTATTTCTCTTCTGACGCTTATTTAATTCATGTGGTACCCATCTATCCAGCTTCTGTACCTTGCCCATTTGTTTCAAATGGTCCAATATTGTTGGAATAGTAACATCAAACCTTGCTGCTAATTCATACATAGGTCAAGATGGATCCGCTTCCACTGCAGGTTTCAGTATCACATTGATCTCAGGTCACCCATGTGGCTCATTTTCAGGATTTTTTTTTTTTTTTTAATATGGGGGATAGTGAGGAGGAAGGTTCTGTTTCCTTTTTTTTTTTTCCAGACAAAATCTCACTTTGTCACCCTGTGTAGAATGAGGTGGCATTATGATAGCTCACTGCAACTTCCAACTCCAAGCTCAGGCAATCCTCCTGCCTCAGCCTCCCGAGTAGATGGACCACAAGCATGCACCACAACGGCTGGGTAATTGTTCTGCTTATAGTAGAGATGGGCTCTCACTCTTGCTTAGGCTAGCCTTGAACTCCTGAGCTCAAGCAATTCTCCCACCTTGGCCTCCCACAGTGTTAGGATGATATGCGTAAGCCACTGCACCCAGCCTATTTTCAAGATTAAGGTCACCAGACCAGAACTTCCTAAACCATCAATGTACTGTGCATTCATTAGCCACATCCTTCCTAAACACTTCATTGCTATTTCAAGCTGTCTGCACAGCATCAGTTCCATGATGGAACTCATGTTTGAAAATAACATGAAGTTTTGACTTATCCATGGTTTCACAAAATTTGCTCTAGAAAAAATTTGAAAGATAATCATAAGCAAAACATGTGTTTGAAAGAATGAGGATGTACCTTTACAATAAAAATAAAATAAGTGTCAAAGTGAAATGTCAGAGACACCAACTGTCAACTTAGTTTATACTTCAGGAAATTGGACATTTCATACTTAATAACCTAAATTCACAAAGTGGTACAGTGGTTTTTAGTATTTGTTAACATTTAACTCCATGTGATTCTAGATAGGAAGAAATATCTGACTTTTGGCACTGATTTGAAAAGTATGTAGTATCTGCCACATTTTGGATAAGCAGTTAGACTTTGAGGAGAAAAATGTGAACTGGTCCCTATCTTTGAAGAGTTGCAGACCAGCATTTACCTAGTACTATCATGTGTGTTTCTGAGCTAGCTTTGAGGAAACTATTACTAACACCAAAAGGCTTTCTTACATTAATTGTGTTGTAGTTAGCTGTGTATATGTTTTCTGAGGGCAGGAATTAATCTCCATCCATATTTGTAATTTCTTTGTCTCGCTTTGTTGCCCAGGCTAGAGTGAGTGCCATGGCATCAGCCTAGCTCACAGCAACCTCAAACTCCTGGGCTCAAGCAATCCTGCTGCCTCAGCCACCTGAGTAGATGGGACTACAGGCTTGTAACACCATGTCTGGCTAATTTTTTCTATACATTTTTAGTTGGCCAATGAATTTCTTTCTATTTTTAGTAGGACAGGGTTTCACTCTTGCTCAGGCTGGTTTCAAGCTCCTGACCTTGAGCGATCTACCAGCCTCAGCCTCCCAGAGTGCTAGGATTACAGGTGTGAGCCAGGGCCCCTGGCTGGTTTTTTTTTTTTTTTTTTTTTTTTTGAGATAGAGTCTTACTCTGTTACCTGAGCTAGAGTGCCATGGCATTAGCCTGGCTCACAGCAACCTCAAAATTCCTGGGGTTAGGTGATCCTCTTGCCTTAGCCTCCTGAGTAGCTGGGACTATAGGTGTGTATCACCACACTTGGCTAATTTTCACTATTTTTAGTAGAGATGGGGGTCTCACTCTTCTTGCTCAGGTAGGTCTTGAACTCCTGAGCTCAAGTGATCTTCCCGCCTCCCAGAGTGCTAGGATTATAATCTTGAGCCACCACGACGGCCTGTTAGGGTTATTTGTTAAATCAAATTAAGTGAATTTAGTGTGAAGGAGTGTTTTGACTTTATGCTCATTGTTGCTTTCAGGCACAATTACAGCTGCCAATGCCAGCACACTGAATGATGGTGCAGCTGCTCTGGTTCTGATGACTGCAGATGCAGCCAAGAGGCTCAATGTGAAGCCACTGGCAAGAATAGCAGGTAGAAAATGTTCTGACCTTATTTATTCCTAAACATCTATAAACTGTTCCTGAAATTGAGTTTCCTTGTTGATAATAAATAATATTTAAGTTGGGTTACTTCTACTGTATCTACCTATATCTATCACAAAGTATTACCTATAAGTAGTATGCCACTCACCTTAGGTATAGCAAAGTACTACCAAAGTACTACCTGTAGGTTGTACTTTATGACAGAAATGTTACCAGTTAAAGTTTCAGTTGAGATAAAGTCCTTTAATATTTTTGTTATACTTTGCTTTATATAAGAGTAAGCTTTAAAAAACTTTTCCTGTCCTATATGATGAGTAGGAGAAAACAAAGTACATGCTTTAATCCAGAGAGGCAGCCAGGTAAAATAAAAAGAATATGCATTGGGAGTCCAGATATATGAAATCCAGATGTTTATTAACTATGTGGCCTTGGGCAAGTCCCTCAATCTCCTTAAGCCTATTTTAAACTGTAAAATCTGCTTTGCCTTCTTCTTAAGGATGTACACAGATGCTATTTTGTTACTTTATAAAAACTTCATTTTTAGTCTTAGATTATTAACCTCAGTCACTATTGACATTTTATACTAAATAATTCTTTGTTGTAGGGGCTGTTCTGTACATTTTAGGATGTTTAGCAGCAACCAGTGGCATCTTACCTGTTGTGACAATAAAAAATATCTCTAGGCCGGGGGAGGTAGCTCACGCCTGTAATCCTAGCTCTCTGGGAGGCAGAGGCTGGTGGATTGCTCAAGGTCAGGAGTTCGAAACCAGCCTGAGCAAGAGCGAGACTCTGTCTCTACTATAAATAGAATTGGCCAACTAATATATATATATATATATATATAAAAAAAAAAAAATCAGCCGGGCATGGTGGTGCATGCCTGTAGTCCCAGCTACTTGGTAGGCTGAGGCAGCAGGATTGCTTGAGCCCAGGACATTGAGGTTGCTGTGAGCTAGGCTGATGCCATGGCACTCACTCTAGCCTGGGCAACAAAGTGAGACTCTGTCTCAAAAAAAAACCCAAAAATCTCTAGACAGTGCTAATATTACACAAATTCCTAAATCCCCTCTCAATGAAAATCAATGTCTCAGTGATTGGTTTAATATTATAGAGTAGAATCTTAGAAAAGCAACAAATATATTTACATATAAGGGCTAGGCAACTTGCATTTAATGGATTAACTTGGCTTTTGCATATTATATATAACAAATAAAGCTTTGGGTGCTTGTAAAAAAGATTTTAATAACTTATTTTTTTATAGCATTTGCTGATGCTGCTGTAGAACCTATTGATTTTCCAATTGCACCTGCATATGCTGTACCTAAGGTGAGAACAAAGTGATGGAATATGGTCCCATATCCTATTATGCCAACCTCTGGTTTGCTTATACCAAGGTTGCATTTTTTATATTTTAAATATTACTCATCTGCCACAGCAGAGAGATAGCTTAGTTTTGAATCTTCCCACTTTTCCTCCTGAAAACAGAGCAAGAGCAAAAGGATATCAAAAATAAATACATAAAAGAGCAAGCCCACAAACTAGATCTTCAGTAGCACAAATAAAAACTACATAACTGAATTACTTGCAAGTATGATGCTGAACTCACACACTTGGTGTGGTAGCCAAAAAGGCGAGGTTGGTGATTCCAGATCTATTTAATAGAATTCGAAGCAAATAGTCTCAAAAGGAGAAGTCTCCATCCTAAAGAGGACTGTTGGCATCAGGTCTTAGAGTAAACAGTAAAAGTAGAGACAGAAAACCTACATATTCCAAATTGTACTAAGTGCTAATATTAAAGGCAGAAATAACCAGGTCTCTGTGGGAAGTTGCGAAGGGGTCACAGGAAAAGAAAGAATGCTGAGGAGGTTTAGGAGTCCAGGGTTCTCAGAAATCTTCAACAAATACTTCTTCCAAGAGAGGGCCTCACCTTGACAGTGAACTTCTGAGAGCATACCCAGATTTAAAAAACAGCAGAATTAGTAGGGAATAACAATAGAGAAGGATCAGAAACAATGGGGACTGCTGGTGGTAATGATTTGTCCAGAGTAAATGGATCTTAGATCTTAGTGACAGAAGTATATAACTTCTGGAAGTAAATGCATCACATTAGAAAGCAAGGATAATAAACAGTCTGGCTTCTGAAGGTAGAAGCCAGTTCTGGACCCTGAGAGCTGAAAAGTAGACATATTTGGGCACCATATTTTATCTTGTGCTGTTGGAATAGAGGAAGCTGTTTGAGCTGTACAGCTTAGAAAGCTACCTTACCTCACTAGAAGAGAGGAGGAGGAAGAGTTCCATGTTAATTTTATTATTGTCCACAACAAAATTTCTTCTCTAAAGAAAAAGGGTATTAGCAATGTTTTATAAAAGTATTAGCATAAGGATAATCACTAGCATAAAACACGTTCCTATATAGCTGAGGATCTACCGAAACAAAACAGATATTAGTATAATGAAAGGCTTTGAATAAATGATTTACAACGAAGATGTAACGGATGTAGATATCTGTGCCCCAGATAACCCCACAGCAACTTTTATAAAGGAGAAAGTGCAGAGGATGCAAAGAAAAACATTCCATTAATACAAGCCAAGAGTGGAGTGACGTGCCTATATTCACAGCTACTCAGAAAGCTGAGGCAGGAGGATCGCTTGCACACAGGAGTTTGAGGTTGCAGTGAGATTTGACTACACTACTGTACTCTAGCCTGGGCAATAAAGAAAAAAGAAAAAAGGAAAAAAACAACATTATACATACTAATAGTAGAAGCTGATATGCCTCTTTCATTTGATAGGTAAATATAGAACTAAGCAACATCTAATCAGTTAAAGCAATCTTAAGAATACATAGCCTTCTTTCCAACTTGGGCCAGGCAGAATGGCTCTGGCAAAAGAAGGGTGGTAAAAAGGGCTGTTCTGTCATTAATGAGGTGGTGACCTGAGAATACATCATCAACATTCACAAGCCCACTTGGAGTGGGCCTCAGGAAGCGTACTCTTCTCAATCTTGAAATTTGCCACAAAGGAGATGGGAACTCCAAATGTGCACATCGATGCCAGGCTCCACAAAGCTTTCTGCGCCAAAGGAAAAAGGAATGTCCTATACCACATCCTTGTGTGGTTGTCCAGAAAACATGAGGATGAAGAGATCACCATACAAGCAATGTACTTTCGTTACCTATGTACTTGTTAACACTTTCAAAAATCTACAGTCAACATGGATGAGAACTGATGATATGTTCAAGTTATAGTTCAGATATGTTCAAGTTATAAAACCACATACACACAAAACACATTAAACATAATATACCCCCAACAGAGAATATATCTTCAAGTATCTGTGGAATATTCAAGAAAATCAAATTTTCTCTGTCTCCTCAAAATGGATACAAGATAATGCAAACAAAATTCTTTGATTATAATGCAGTAAGATGAGAATTTAAAGGGATCCTTCCACCTAAGAACCTCTATATTTAAATAACATCAAAGGGAAATACAGACCAAAATTGTGGAATTTCACAGAAAATGAAAATAAGTTGTGATTGCTATTTGAATATCATTTGTCTTTTAAAAATTTTTAGGTTCTTAAAAATGCAGGATTGAAAAAAGAAGATATAACAATGTGGGAAGTAAATGAAGCCTTTAGTCTGGTTGTACTGGCAAACATTAAAATGCTGGAGATTGATCCCAAAAAAGTGAATATCAATGGAGGAGCTGTTTCTCTGGGGCATCCAATTGGGTAGGTAAAGTCATAAAGAAAAATATATCTAGGTTAATAGCTCCCTTTGTATGCACGTCTATCTAAACTTAAACTACTTCATAATTCCTATTGCTCTTGTTTAACAGTTTTCCTTCCCACTCACCCTTCATAAAGCAAGTGCCATTTCTGATAGATGGTATTCAGCATTGAACACAGAAACCTGTCACATCTGTTGCTTGAAACCTAATAGTATTAGTTTTACACTGAAGAAGAAAAATACCTTAAAACTAAAGTCTGTGCTCGGGCTTTAACCACTTCCGGACTGCACTCACTGGCCGCGAAACCTTGCCCACAGCCGGCTCTCATAGTCGGCATGATAGCTTGTGCTGTGCATTGACGATGAATCCGTTTTGCTCTTGTGTGATGAGGAAAGCTTTAAAGCACTGAAAGCTTGTTTTACTTTACAGGCAGCTTTACTTGTAATGTAAATATCAGAATAGGTAACACATACATATATGTTTTCATTACGTTACTTTTAAATGTTCAAATTTTATTTTGATAAATGAAAAATTAGAAAAGTCACATCACGGCTGTTGGCTAAAGTCGCTGTGCACGTTCATCTGTGGCTATCGACTATAGTTGATGCTGGTCCCGAAGTGGTTAAAAAGAGCTGTGACCCTTCTTGAAACAAGTCTGTCAAGTTTACAAAAAGTAGTTCTTTCAGTTATAAGTAGTGGCTAATAAGATTTTCAATAAGTTAATTTGGAATAGAAACATTTTTGGTTAGTCCTAAATTCTGTACTTCATTTAAAAAAACAAAATGCTTTCTTAATCCTAGGATGTCTGGAGCCAGGATTGTTGTTCATTTGACTCATACATTGAAGCAAGGAGAATACGGTGTTGCCGGCATTTGCAATGGAGGAGGAGGTGCTTCTGCTATGCTGATTGAGAAGCTGTAGACAACCTCTGTTGTTTAAGGAGAAAACCCTGTGTAACCTGATGTAATTAGTGTGTCTGTGCTGGGTGGGCTTGGACTTAAGCTATTTCATTTTTTAATTATTTTCTATTTTAACGTTTTAAAATAAAAATGATTAAATCCTAAAGCCTTTTGAAATTAAAAATAAATTTTTTTCTTTGCTTTAATTTTTTTGTAATCTTTAAAAGTTTGATACATTTTTACATTGTTAATCTATACTATTTGAAACAACAGTGTGCAATATTAGTAGCTAGAAGCTTCTATTTGGCAGAGTAATTTGTTTTTGAGGATTGTTAAAGGTCAAGTGAATGTTATTTGTAGCTAATTTACATTTAGTAGATTCCTTAAGAGCTGGCTATTTTAGACAAACTAGCAGAAACCACAGACACAGTGTGTACAGCAGTGCTAGAAATATGAAAGAAGTCCATGTGCTCAGGTCTGTCTAGTGGGGGGGGGAGGCGGCAATTTCTTATAACCTCTGATTCAGGATTGAGGTATTGGGCAGGGGAGGTCACACTGAGAAAAACTTGGGGTTTGGGTTCTGAATTACTATAGCAACACAAAGAGTGGGAAAGAAGGTAGAAACTGATAAACTGAATGGATTTATAAAAAAAAAAAGGAAGAAATTGCCACTTCTAATATGCCACAATGCCTGCTCTTGAGCAGGCCAGACCATTGCCTGAGTATAGTGAATTGCATTTCATCTGGAAAAAAATTTAAAAACACTGTAGGCAGATGTTACGCACATCCAACTTCAATTGCAGCTCTGAAAAGGGAAAATTCCCACTCAGTGGGGAAGGGGAGAGGACAGCAAAGGTCATTGTGTACACATTATCTGTTGGCAAATACTTCATTGTAAATCTTTATCTTTGAAGGAACAAAAAATAATATATTTGAAAAAATAGCATTTTTTGCATTCAGAGGAAAAGTATTTTCCAAAACATCTGTAGAGCAATCACAACTAACTTTTGAGGCTCATATTCTAAGTACAAAGCTTTATCTTAACTCATATAATCCCAAATCCTCTATAAGTGGATACCATTATTATCCCTACTTTAAAGGAACTGAGGCATAGAGTGGCTAAATAGTTGAGCTATGGTTTAAATCCAAGTTAATCTAGATCCAGAGCTGCCCAAGTTTTTTTTTTTTGAGACAGACAGTCTTGCTGAGTCACCCTGGGTATAGTGCCGTGGCATCAGCATAGCTCACAGCAACCTCAAACTCCTAGGCTCAAGCATTCCTCCTGCCTCAGCCTCCTGAGTAGCTGGGACTATAGGTGCTTGCCACTGCACTTGGCTAATTTAAAAAATATTTCTACTTTTAGTTGCCTAGCTGATTTTTTCTAATTTTAATAGAGACTGGGTCTCGCTCTTGCTCAGGCTGGTCTCGAACCCCTGGCCTCATGGGATCTTCCCACCTCAGCCTCCCAGAGTGCTAGGCTTACAGGTGTGAGCAACCGCACCTAGCCCAAAGCCCAAGTTCTTATTAATACTATGGTTTACTTTAATCACCTTTCCATAATCACAATAAGTATCTGCCCCAACTTATAAGAACTTATAACTGAACCAGGAGCTGGGTAAAATACAGGAAAAAAGGAAATCTAAAACATATTAAAGTAGTTCACTGAAGATAAGCAGAATAAATACTGCATCCAAAGGTGAGTGACCTGGAAAACACCTGAAAAGCATTCTGACAATTCTGTGAAAAAATGAAGAGGAAGAGAGAAAAGATACAGAGCTACCAAGTAAATGGTGTTTCTTAAAAATAAAAAAAAGTATTCTGAAACAATCTAATATAATAGAAAATATAAAGATAATAGGAAAACTCAGATTTTTTAAGTCCTAAATGGGAAGACTTTACATATTTTCAATAGAACAAAGTGATCAGATGTTAGAAAGTGTCTCAAGCACACAAAGGCTTAGAAAATAGAGCACTCTAATGTTTCCTCCACAAATGACAAAGGTTTTAGTGGAGCACTGGTGGCCTGTGCCTATGATCCCAGCTACTCAGGGGGCTGAGGTGGGAGGATTACTAGAGTCCAGGAGTTTCAGAGCAGCCTGGCCAACAGCAAGATCTTGTCTCAGGAGGGGAAGAAAAAAACAAAACCACAAAAGTATTAACTGAGCAGCACCTAAGTGGACACATAGGTACTACAGTAATAGGGTATTGGGCAGGTGGGAGGGGGGAGAGGGGTGGGTATATACATATATAATGAGTGAGATGTGCACCATCTGGGGGATGGTCATGCTGGAGACTCAGACTTGTGGGGGGAGGGGGGGAATGGGCATTTATTGAAACCTTAAAATCTGTATCCCCATAATATGCCGGGGGAAAAAAAAACCCACAAAAACAAAGGTTTAGGTCAGCCCATGGCAAGAATTAAGAATTCAGGTATGTGAAATTTCTTAAGTTTTTTAAATGACTAATTAAGGATGAGCTGGAGAAAAAGGAAAGGTAGGGGTGAAATAAGGGTAACATATCTGCTAAATAAAAATAAACAGCAGTAGGATGAGTTCTATATCTTGCATTATTATAGAAGATAAAAGCTGGAAAATCTCTTATAAAAAAGAGAAGGCTGGCATATATCACAATTAATTAGAAGTCAAGGCAGAAAGTGTTAAAATAGGGAAAACTATTTTATATAAATAAGAGATTATTCAAAATGAAATTATGACAGTTACAGACCATGCACTGAGCAACAATACAAAAGCAAAGCAAAAACTATGGCCAAGTTAATTATAATGGGAAATTAAACATTTAAGGGAAAAAAGTGTTAAAAGCAAAGACAGGATTCAAATAGTATGAGATTGAATATCAAATTTTATACATTTATAAACAATATATTTAAGCACCTATGCTACATTTATAAAAACTTTAACCTATCCTGACAATAATAAAAACAATTTTAAGCAAGAAAGAGCTTCATGACACTTATTCTTAGAAATTACGTGGCATGTGCCTGTAGTCCCAGCTACTTGGAAGGCTCAGGCAAGAGGATCACTTGAGTCCAGGACTTTGACGATAGAGAGCTACGATGACACCACGGCACTCCAGCCTGGGTGATAGAGCAAGACCATCTCTATAAAAAAAAAAAAAAAAAAAGGAAAAAAAAATCATATAACTTTTCCTTCATCTGAAGAAGTTAAATAAACATGCAAAAAGAACCCTGGGGAAAAAATGGAAACACAAAGAATAAAGTAGAAACAGCATAAAATTGTTAACTTTAACAAGTGTTTTTGTCAGAAAAAGTAGTTATATATCTCATTTAAAAGGGAACCCAAACAAAAATTTTGAGTCAAAGACTTTATTTTTTCCCAAATTTTGTTTGGGTTCAATTTTAAATGGGGTATGACTAATTTTTTTCTGAAAAACTTTTTGTGTGTGTTTTTTTAAAGACTTCAGGTAAGATAGAGATTATGGATTTGCTCTTAAACATAAACAAAAGCTCCAAGTAAAAGTTGTCTTTTGACTTTATCTAAAAGTTCTTCGCTAGTTAACAAAGAATCTTGAAGAAAGTGAACTTACCTGTATATGAATTCTCAGTACTTAGCACACATAAATATGAATTGTATGAGAAAATCTGTAATTTTCAGCATTATATGAACTCCCAAAAAAGAGTACATAAAAATTGACTTGCAAAGGAATTTAATCAAAGTTTCTAAACAAGACTGCCAATATAAAGTAATTCAAACTTTTGAGGTTAATGAAAATATTTATTCAAACCTAACTGTAGTACAGTATCAAGGTGAGTTAAATAAACATTAACTGTATGATATTTAGTTCCTTAGGAATAGACCATTGCCACATCATAAAAATTTCTTACATCACATATTTCTGCGGTAATGTTCAGCAATTAAGACATGATTTCTACATTGAGAAATGTTGTATTGGAGTAGGATGGATTTATTTTTTTAAAGGCCTGGTACAAAAAAATGGTTGAGGAAAGTGACTCTTTAACAAAATATACACCATAGGAAAAAAATCCTAATATACTGATATTTAATTAAACAGAAAGCACTTAAGAGAACATACTTTAATATCTAGGCACAATTGGTCAGGTACTAATTATAATTTCTGTTCTCCTTTAAAAGTTTACACCAATTCTTTAATTTAACTGATGTGTATGAAACCTAAATGCAGAGAAGGCACCTCTCTCACTCTCTGTAAGTACCTTTTGAGAGTAACTTTTTATAACACTCTAAGGGACACACAGATAAAGCACTATATCCAATTATAGATATAGTTATTTAACATACCCCATTTTAGGAGAAACTAAATTAAAATATAAAACTATGATTTCTCTTTTTACATCTTATGATGGACATGACTTTCTAAAAGGACACCAGAAGATAATCCTCCACACAAACTTTAACATAGAACAGATTTAAATTAAATGTGCATTGTTCACTACTATGTAAAGGGTTCTATGAATTAGTGCAATTCTTTAAATCCCCAGTATTTAGGGGAAAAGTATATACATACTATGAAATCTCAACTACTATAAACCAAACTTCTTATGGCTCAATAGTCTAACCACTTAAAAGTTCTGTAAAAAAATCTTAGAAGTTATAAATGAAAGATCAGAACACCCAATAAATGGTTTATAAAATTCTCTCTTTAAAACAAAGAGAATGAATAAGCAGAAGAAATAGTAAAGTGTAAAATTCTAGGAATATAATCTTTATTACGACTGTAAGAAGGGCTGATAAAATATTCACTCTAAAAGAAACCAATCAAACTGTTGATTTCTGATTAGATACTTTACTACCAGTTGAGGCGGTTATCATTTTGTGGTCCTTAGTGGCTATGTATTTAAACGTCTTGTTGAACAATTTACTGAGGGTGATTTCTATTTTCCTTCAAAAGAAGTAAGAAACTATTCCAGATGAATAAGCCTCAGAATTACGGATCATAAGAAATAAAAAAAAAACACAGTGTAAGAACATTAGGTTGATTTAACCTCTATTTCAACAAGATTTATACAATATTTACAATATGCAATTGTCAAAGCTATACAGTTTTGCAGATTGGCTTTACTTACATTTCTGCAAATGTTTTTTCCAAAATAAAAATATGCCAAGTAAGTTTATTTACAACGTAGGAAGCTGCTTCAGAAACAGCGTGATT